CTGCTGTCACCAATGCTGGTGGCAGCATCAGCGGGAGGGAGGGAGAGGTAGCAAGCAGCTGGATGCAGAGCCGCCTCTCTGCCCGGCTCCACGCCACCTCTGCTCCACCCCACTCCGTGGGGCCCCCCAAAGCGCGGGGCCTGGAGCAGTCACCCTGATTCACACCCCTCTAGGTATGGCCCTGGTAATGTGCATTAAATCTAATAGCTCCGGGTGCCTGGAGATGTGCCAGGAGGCTGTTCTGATGTGCTGTAATTACAGTGCATCAGAGCAGACAGCTAATTAATAGGGGTGAGCGAAGCAGGCCCTATTTGATTTGGATTCAACCTGAATCAGAGTCAGTAATTTGATTTGTTGATTTGGATCACTGTCCCTGATTCAATTGGGCCAAATCCGAATCTGAAGATTCAATGCTGATTCAGAGAATCAGCGATTAGGACATAGACACAGCTTTAAATGTTTTTTCTATATACCTCAAGGTACCAGCATGGCTTCTGAATGCTGCAATGCTGGGGTGGATGGAGCATCACACCGAGCATGTGGGGCCCTCCACATGCTCAGTGGCAAACCTGGAAGTGTTCACTTCTGGGTCAACCGGGGAGCATGCAGGGGAGCCCCCCTGCACCTCTCCAGGCTGCGTGATCAGCTGTGGGGGGACCCCAGGTGCCCCCCAGACCCAGGAGGCACCAGTTGCCGAGCTCGGGGTGCATGGGGGGGGGCAGTACGCTCCCCAGCAGACCCGGAAGTGGACTGGAAGTGCTTCTGGTCCATTTCTAGGTCTGCTGCCAAGCACACTGGGGAGCAGCCCGCGCTTCTGTAGGACACTCCATGCGCCCCACCATCACTGTGTTCACAAGTTGCCTGCTACCTAGAGGTATGTAGAAAAAAACATTTAAAGCTGTGTCTATGTCTGAATCTCCAAATCTTCCCGAAGCAATTCGGAGGGTTCTGATTTGATTCAGAGAGATTAAAGGGTCCTCTGATTCTATTCGGATTCGGAGATTCAGCCACCAAATCGGGCCAAATCTCCACCAATTGAATCGGGGACTGAAGCTTCACACAGCCCAACTAATTAGCACACTTCAGCCAGCTTCTACGTCTTGTAGAAGTGTTCCTGCACTTCAAAATGGCAAAGGGGGTGCTTTAACACTCATTCGACAAGCTTTAGTTAAAGTGCCCCCACCGCCATTTTGAAGTGGAGGCACAGTGGGGACACTGATAAACGAGATGCTGTGGGTACTCCCATCACCCCAGTAGCATGTGTAAAAATGCCCTCCATTGTGAGGTACCAGAAAAATGTGTATTAGCCTATTTTAATGTACATTAAAGTGCACATGTAGATGCACCCATTCCAAAGTAAAGTATTCATGGATGACAGGTCCATTGAGAGCTATTAAATAGAAGAATGAGGCATGTCTTTCTGACATCCCTAAACCTATGATGGTTGATGCCAGGGAGAGAGAACAATAGATATGCCCAGTATCTGTACTCTCCCCCTAAAGCAATAGTTCCCAACCTTTTACTCAGCATAACCCCATTTCCTCAGCATGTCCCCTTATTCCCAACCTGCAGTCCAAACCCCCTAGGTAGCCCTCACTCTCTACCCACAGTCCCCTGGCCCTGCCAGTGCCCCTCACTCCCACTGGTGCCCCTCACATGTTACCTGTAGCCTCCTGCTCCTCCCAGCCCTGCCAGTGAGGGCCCCCAGCTGTCAGGGCTACAGGACCAGGGCTAGGGAGCTAGGAGTTGTGCCCCTTGCTGCTGCCAGGCAGGCACAGGGCTCCTCGCCATGGCAGTGCAGCCGGTGTGGGGCTCCCAGCAGAGACACTGAGCCGCCCTGCTCTGCCCCAAAGACCCCAGGGGACGGCAGCAGGGCAGAGAGCCCCGAGCTCGCAGAGGGCAGCCTGTATCTGTCCCCACCCTGTACATAAATCTGGGGGCACATGCTCCCTTATGTCTCCCTCCCCATGAGTGTGAGACCCCATTTTTATTGTTGTGACCCCAAATGGGGTCTTGACCCCAAGGTTGGGAACTGCTGCCCTAAAGCCTCTACTACTCATTACTGGTAGAGACTGTATACCAGGTTAAATTGGCCATTGGTCTGACCCAGTATGGCATGTCATATGATCCTAAGAGCAGGTTTATAGGGCAGTTACAGTGGAATGGTTGACATGCTATATAAAGTTGAGACCTTAATTTGCCTCGTTGTAACTTTTCTAAGTGCCCATATGCTAAACCTAGGTACATGGATTATGTGGGTAGCTGTGGAGATACAACAGCACACGTTTCAGGGATCAGACTATGTCCCTAGGAGCTTTGATGTGCTTGTACTGTCCATGCTAAAGCCATGCTGGCATTCCTTTGCCACTAATGTTACCCCTCCTAGCTAGAAAAAAAAGCCAGCTTGGGCATGCTTATCTATACTGAAGTCATCCTTCCCTTTGCAGTCTACTCTAATTTGCCTCCAGAGATCACACAACCCAGTGTCTATTGGTACTGGAACCTAATCCTGATTCCTTTGCCCCCAACCCCTGGCTTGTGCTTTAGTGAGTACTTCAGGCTATCGCATGCTGATAAGTTTTAGGTTTTTCCGCTACCATGTTTAGATAGATCCTTTTCTTAACAGTAGTTTTGCAACTTGTGACTAGTTAGTCCATAGTGACTAATGCATAGATACGCCAGAATCTAGGCTCCAGAAATGTTGCAAGAAACCTTGAGAAAGTCAACATGTAGCTTGCCTGGGGCAGCTCAGATGGAACAAAGATAGTGACATGTAAAATAGGCTCGCTCTTATAATGTTGAATTCCTGCAGCAGTAGTAAGCTTACTTGTACCTTAGGGGAAGGGAAGGGACCAGAAACCCTTTTGCAACAAAAAAATGTGTCTTAACTAAGGCTGATAAAATTTGACAGCTGAAAGCAATGGTTCCACCAAACCATGCTCCATTGAGCCCCCCCTTTTAAGTGAACACGTGTTGATTAGGGTATCCTTTATCCATGAGAAGGTGAGGGTTGATCCATTGGTTTAAAGAGTTTGAGAGCCACAGTTTTAGTGCAGTAGATTTTGCTCCAAGAAGCTAGCAATGTAAAGGCTCTTTCCCATAAAGAATAGCATGACTGGGCATCGATATGAGAAAGCAAGGTAACCTAAACAGAGGCAAGGTCAATGGCATGTTAAATTACATCACCAAAAGAACTGTGGATTTGGTGGCACTAATTAATTCTAAATGGGTGCAGTGGAATCAGCTGGTCATTTACCAAACTATATAGTACTGTAACAATTACTGGCTGGCGTTAAGTATGCCTGAAAGTATTAAAAAATAGCATGTCATGAAAATATAGCATGACAAGAACAAGGAAATTGCCCCTCCATTTTAAGTAGCTTTTGCACACTGGTTCTAGTTCAGAGTCTCTTCATCTTTTATTGTGTCTAAACAGATATTGATAAGATCTAGCTAGAGTGAAAGACTGGCTAGGTTTCAACTTTCTCCCTGATTGATTGATTTATTTATTTATTTAGGTTGAAATAGTAACATTAGCCTTACTTTGTAATTACTTGTGTTTTTAACAAGTCACTAAGAACTGTTGCAATCCCAATGGAATGACAAATGCCATTTCAAAGCCATACAATTTCCTCGGCAAATTAACATTTTCCAGCGAGAGTAACTACTCAGTGGTACCACATGCCGGCTCTAGTCCATCTAAGTGCCTACTCAAAAGACAGCAAGTGGAGTGTATTAACATTTCCTCAGTTAAACTGTTTGGTTAGTGATTTCCTCATTCAGAAGTCACATGATTTCTATTAAGCTAGCAATAGCTTCAGTTCTTCACAGTACTTGGGCATAATACAGGTTTCTTAATGATTCCCATAAAGCAGATTGATGTGAGTCTAGTATGAGCTTTAATATGTGGCTGATTGGCACAAAGTCTGGTTAAAGGAACAGCATCAACTTGCATTGGACAGTAGTGAACTAAAGACACACACGCACCCGCCCCCCCACCCTAAGTAGCAAAAATAGACAACTTTAAAAGAAAAAGAGTGGGGTGCAAATGCCATCTCCAAGGCATAATCCCAGGAGCCTGCCCACAGGTTGAAAGGGTGTGAAGCAGGAAGTTTCTGCCCAACTGAATACTGCCACTGCATCAAGTGTGGCTATAAAACCTGTGGTCACAAGGCGAGGTGCACTTTATAGCTCTTGTCCGGTATGATTGCCTTGGGTTTGCTTCTCGCACACAACAGCAACCCCTCCGTCTATTTAAGCTTCTCCTGACTTAGGAGAAGAGTAGCCCTGTCCGCCCTAAACGTCCTGGCAGTTCTTTGCTATCCAGGCACTACCGCTGAGCATATTTTTCAAGCAGACTGACCCGCTCGTTCATTTCAGGGCTTCCTCTCTCTTTCCGTGCAAAAACCCATTTACAAACGAGTGGGAGTCGGCCACATTGGGTGGCCCCCATCAGTGCCAATGAAATGCTGCAGGAGTGCAGGTGGTAGCCCAGCAGTGGCAACGGCCCTGGCACATTGGAGCAGGCTTGCAGTTGGGGCTGGTGGCAAAGCCCCTCTGTGCGGCCACAGCGGCGGGGCTGGCGGCTCGGCCGGACCGAGCTGCTCCTCTGTGAAATGGGCACAGCGAGTGAGAGGCGCCAGGTTCGCGAGGCAGCCACGGCTGCAGGCGAGAGGCACGACCCGGATTGCCCCAGGGCCAGGGTCCCCGCAGGCGGCAGCGGCGGAGCGGTGACCGCTCCCCCCGCGGGCACTGGGCGGCCGCTCGCTGCAGACCTGGCGCCTCGGGCGGGGCGGGGCCTCCCCGCCTCTCCTGCCGGACAAGCCGGTCCCGCCCGGGGGAGGCACGTAGCAGGCGGCTGCCGGGCGGGGGGGCC